CATTGTGGGAAAATTCTTCTACCAGTCCTTCATCACCTTACACGAAATAGGGTGAATACATCTCATTAAACAATACTTAATTCATAAAATCAAGAAACTAGACCTGACCAGGTCTCGGTTTGTCTGAAACGAAGGGGCCAAGCGAGACTGGAAAACGCACCAGAAAGTAGGACGAGCCGTCCTCGACGTCGGGAGGAGCGCCGAACACTTCAAGCGCATACTCGCCCGGCTGAGGAAGGTAGACCGAGAGGACGCAGACTTTGACGCCGATGGCGCCGCTGCCGACGCCGCTTCCGCCGGCCAGTGAGCGTCCGACGGCGCCGGCCGACATTTGCGAGAGTCCAGTGGTTGGGAGACGGGACTCGATCTCACGCACCAGAATGCAGTCCTCCAACTCTTCCGGCTTGTGCATCAGAGACTTGAGACGGGCCATCAGTTTCGTCAATTTGCCCGTCTGAAGGGACATGGGCAAATGAGGCAGTAGGGAATTTTTATGCTTTCACAAAAAAGTACGATAAATAGGCTATACCCAGCCACATTATGGCATAATTATTGTACAAAGGAAAAATAAGTTTTATTTAATGATAGGAAAATCAAACATCAAGCTATATTATTACTGGCCCTCAAATGTAGTTTGTCATAAAAGAGCAAGATAATGAAAATTTTAATCTAGAGAAATTCCTATAAAAAACAGAAGAATGCAAAAAAGCATGATCAAGCAGCATATTAGTGGCAGACAGAGACATTTAGGAATAATCCCAAAAATGTCGTATTTAGAATGCTATAGCTAGTCAAATGAATGACACCTGCATTCAGACTTACAGGATTAGCATAATAAAGAAGTATTTTGTATATGAAAACCGTTAGATATTCTGCCATCAACAGAAAAATAAATACAATTATCAATAATTGGTAGCAAACTAATCCCAGTGAAAGCTCACGAAATTACATACCACAAAGCAAAGCAACTAGGAAATGCAAATGTCGCGGAAGAGATATTAATAAACAGACTAAAGAGAAGGAATGGAAGCTGTGAAGACCAGAAAAACCTAAATAATCTCACATTGTCCGGAGTCCATAGTATGCATGATCATTTGCAGAGTCAAACCGTGGACTTGGTACATTCCCAGCCAAGTGAAGTCGACTCCTTGAACAATTATCTGCTAAACATTTGTGCCATCCATCCTGTCCTGAGCTATTCAACTAACCTACACTCTCGTATCACTCCTTCAATATCACAATTTCTTCCATACTTATCCAAACCTATTTGCAACTGGTCTCTCTTCGGTTCCTATCAGAGTACCCCTCTTGCTGTCACTCGTGGCGTTATGTTCCACACTCTGGCTCAAGCCTGTGCTAGCGCGGACATACCAGCCTCACTGAGCAGGCCACTATTGTCTCGATTCTCAATTGGCATGGCAACATAAGTTGACGCTGCAGATTCCCTTATCGCTGTGCGGCATGGGCACTGAGTACATCTCGTCGTCAAGCCTTGACTTCGTGGACCACATTTATGGGAAAAATTATCTGCGTTTTTGCGTCTTTCCACCATATCCAGCCGGTCTTTCAGTCCATTTCCAGTCCATTTCGTGTGTACACTCCGTGCACTTTGTTCCGCTATTTTGGGATCTTTGCGTATCCATGTTTCAGCAGATTCTTTGCGATAAACTACGATCAATCCAGGTTGTCAACTTTTCGTGTTGCGCTGGCAGGTTGACGAAGACTGTTGTCTTTTCGTTTGTCATCAGCTTTTT